TTTTCTACAGGTTTCTTGATTTGGTCTTTCTTCCCTAGTGAAAGATTGCTTTTAAAGTTCTTTCAAACAAATATATATTCGGGCTTTTAGCCCCGTCTTTGTGGAGCTCTTGTTTTATTAAGTTAGAAACGGAGTCAAAAACAGGTTTATCAAGCGCTTATAAACCATTCAATTTAGTTTGTAATTACGTGTTTTCATAGTAATGAGGGCAAAAGTATTTAGGTAGATTAAATATAAATGTAAGGGAGGGAATGATAACATCAGAGTGCTTCCAGCCTAAAATGATTATAGTTCTTATCTTATCTCGCAATTTTGAATTTTCAAGAAGGGGTAACTCGTACTGAATTTGTAACTACAATTGTACGATTTAGTGAACATTAGTCATTTGTAACAAAATCTGGAAACAAAGTGATCCATCGAAAGCATTAATCACAACAACTTACATAAGAATTGCAGACTCGGTTTGATTGAGTCTGTACATGAGGGATAATGAATAAGTGCAGCATCCCTAACGCCCCTAGCAACGGCTTGAGTGGAAGTCAATTCTCAACATTTAATAGTGCTGGCATCAATGATCCCGAAAGCTAGAAAAATATAACAACACTGAAATGAAGTACGAAACTTACAAAATAATTTAAAGTTGTAAAATTTCTTAAAAGTGTCAATCCTGTCGTAGAGTCATTCATTGTCCTTTTTAACAGTTGTCTAAATTGACAACTTAGTTGTAAGATATGTAAATGTATAGTTCATTTACTTTTTTAAAAATCTTATTAAAATATTTGTGCTAAATACTTAGCAGAATAAAACGCAATATATATATAATACCGAATCACTTTTCACTACATTCGAATATAAGTTTTACTTTCCATTGTAATGATTAACACCAAACTTTAAAAACTTTATAGACGAAAAAACACCTTGAAAGAGCAAAGAACAAAACAGCCTACAAATATTCAGTGATGAAAACATTTAACGGAAAGATGGCTAAACCTCCTGCATAATATATAAGAAATACAAAAGGGTAAGGCAAAGACCAAAATAACAGATATACAAAACGATCATTTATCTTTTAAATTTATATAATGGGAATCCAATTGTTGATTGTTAAAGACGTAGCTTAAATAAATGCACAGTAATTGGGATACGTATGTGCACTTATAGCGTTAAAAGGTGATTACAAAGTGTAGTTGGATGTAAAAGTAAAAATCAAATGTGAATTAAAAGTGATTTGTATTGCCTTAAAAGTAGTAAAAATTATAAGGAAAAAGTTTTAAAAATCTGCTACATATTGAAATTGGCTCCGGAACTCGGGAATCGAGAAATAAAATTGAAAGATTTTCGACAAAATAGATTTTCTTCACAACGTATAGATTATGTTTATGTGAAATGCGAAAAACACATATCGTAAAGTTGGCTTGAAAGGATTCTCAATTGTTCAAAGAAAACAGTGATGTGTGGTATCCTGAAATGTGTTTATGCGTAAATACGAAGGCAAAGAGGTAACCAGAAAATGTGTTTCTCAAAGAAATTTAAAAGTAAACAAAAAGGTTGAATAAATTCGAATAAACACTAAGGAAAAATTTGAATAATGTTACTGTGATTTTTTTGTGTGCTATTAAATATCTACATAGTCATCAAAAGTGACTTACCATGTCAGAAAGGCGTGCGCACACGCTACTTCATTTTCCTTGAGAAGGAATTACGAACTGGAGATAAATTATTAGAAATAAGTGCCTAGAAGAATACAAGAAACTTGAGCATTTTTCCAATGAAACTTAACTTAAGATTGATATTTATATATATATCAGCTTGATGTTCAGTCAGACAAGGTAGGGCATGCAATTGGTGATTCCGATAGTGAATTCATTCAGGAGATGGTCGACAATGATTCGGTATTGCTTGATAGGGCTTTGTCTATAGCCTTTAGGCTGAAAAATGTACAGACTAACCGGAAAAGCAAAATATCAGAGAATATTATTAAAGAGGAGTCGGACGAAGAAGATCAGCTTTACAAAAAGCGTGTTCAGATGAAACTTCAGCAAACCTTCTTTGAACAACAGCAAGAACGGGCAAAAGAGCAAATGAAAATTCAACAGAAATTCTTTGACAAACAACACAGTCTTAAATTAAGAGTGAGAATACTGTCAAATTGCCAAAGTTAAACATGGTTTCGATCAAATGAAATAAACTCCAATGGACGGAATTCTCGGACTCTTTCTCTAGTGCTGTAAATGAAAATGACAAGCTGTTGCTGGAGGTGCTATCACTGGACTGACATTATCTAATGAAAACGACGATATTGCCATTCAATTCTAAAATAAAGATTTGGGGATGAACCATATATTATAGATCAGCATTAAAAGGGGCTGGTGATGTTGCATTCCCTAAGGATTCAACCGAAAATTTGCGATTCTTCTACGACAAAATACAAAAAGACTGGACAAGTTTGGAGGTTATACATGAAAATTTGGAGCAACACGTTCTCGTATCAATTATTCGAAGAAAACTACCAAGTGACGGTTTTATGCATCTTGAAGTGCAAAAGGGTGCAGACAATAAGTGGATGATAACCAAGCTTCGTGAGTTGCTCACACAGTAATTTGATGAAGGGCTATGAAGGCCAGAGATACCAATGATACCAAACTATATAGACTGTTTTATCTCTATTCAGAACATTTCATTTGTATTTCAAAGTAATTGGATATTATATAACTATTTGGCATTGCTTAAAGTCATAGTTTGAATGCATATATGTGCATTTTTCAACATTTTAATTTTATAACCTTTGGGCATTATAGTTTCTGAGAAGTATTTAAAACATTTTTACCATACAAGTCTTTGCAAACTTAGTGAATCACAGGAAAGGATCAGTGACATGACTGATATAAATTTTGTAGAGGTTCACATATCAATGATTATGTAAACAATCTGAACTCTTGGACATTATTGTTTCGGAAAAGAAAGTTTTGTAAATGTGTTTTCTAAGATGTTTTTATTAAACACGCCTATGCAAACTAAGTGATCCGCAGTTCAAAAATATGGAGTGAAATGATATTGTATCACCTAACTGTAACAAATGCCTAAGGTTTTAAGTGTTACATAGCAAGGCCTAAATAATCATAAATCAGAAAAAAGATGCATACATGTTACAAAGTTGTTACATAATTGTTATACATTGTTACATATTATTATAGATCTTGAATTTATGTATACTGTATATATGATCCCTTTGTACGAACTTTAACATGCATATTATGCTCTAAATTATGTAAAGACTCTTCAGTTATGGAGGAAATAAAGATGATGAATTAATGATGAATGAATATCTAATCTCAAGGCTTTGCGGTTATGCCAAATAAGAACTAAAACGAATTTAATATAAATCGTGGTCACATGCCTAAAATTCTTTCTCTTGGTACTGTAATTTTTGCAGATGAATTTTAAAGACTTTACTTTTAAAGTTTGCATTTAGGAGGATATTTTGTTCAAGAAAATGTTGTAACGCAGACTGCAAGTCAATGAATTCACCTCTAAACATTTCCTTCTAAGGTGGAATTATGTAGCAGATTTTCTAAACTTTTCCCTTTAACTTTGCCTACATTGAAAACAACAAAGATCATGTTTTAATCCTGAATTAACTTTCACTTTTACATCCAACTACTATTTTTAATTACTTTTAACGTACCCTTTTAACACTTACTATCTCTGGATACAATGGACATCAACATTGTAATTCTAAACCTAGTTTAAAACAATTTAGGCATTTGATAATATTTGTAAAACCATTGCAAGCTGTATATAAGAATAAGCAACATTGTGAATAAAAATTTTCCATCATTTATTTTTAAACATTGCGCTAGTTCCGATACAAGTTGTTAAAAATACTATATTATATTTAGGAAATAGATATCAATTCTGAGTGCATTGTTGTAGAATAATACACGGTTCGAGTTCAAATGCGTAGTAATATAATCACGAAGGCTGATAGGCCTGAGTGATTAATTTCAAAGCATTTGAACGAAAAACGTGCATTATTATACAATATTGCACGAAGAATTAATATCTATTTCCATTCTAACACGTCAAGAAACAATATAATTATTATTATAAAGTTGGACTTTATGTTTAGTGGTTAAATTTATTTTCGCCTCAGAGTTTCCAATTGAAACGTTCTTTAAAGGCCGTTCCAGTGGGTTGAAAAACACTGTCGTTAGATGTGTAGAAACATTTTAAGAATAACGAATTTTGAAAACGTTGATAAAACTTTGTTTGTTTATTTTATTTCAGTCTATAATTTTCGAAGCGAAATACAAATTATTAAAAGTGAAATAAATATAAAACTTAACTCGTCTGCGACATTAAAAATAGCGTACTTGATTTTGATTGTTTTGCACGTGCTGTTTGACGCTACATTGTGACGTCACGTAAATAACACTTTAAACGTCTGTACAGCGTTAACGACTGAATTAAAGATATTGGTGTTCGGATTCATTTTCTTAGTTAGACCATTTTCTTTCATTCTAGATAGTTTTCACAACAAAATTCGACAAAAAAATTTTTTATTTATCAGATTTTTCAAACAAAATGGCGCCCTCAATGTGAAAATATACAGGGAGATAATAAGAACGGCGAGTGCCTTCTTTGTTTATTTAGAAAAATTTCCGATAGTGTTAGAATATGTAAACTACACGTTTGATAGGGAGGAAACATGATTTACAAATATGCTCAGCCTTGTGAACACTTTTAAGGGTCCTCAATAATTAAAAATTGTTTAAAATTTCAAAATCTGTATTATAGTTGGTATTCTAAAATTATGCAAACATGGTTTTCAAAGCAAATTTGAAAAGCTTGGAAAAAGCAAAATTTCTATTTATACTCATTTCTTGTAATACTCATTTATTAGATTGGTCAGGATTCTGATTTAATAACTCAGACCTGAAATAATCGTAATGGATTGTTATCAATGTTTTAAAAATAAAAAAAGCAAAATAAATAATAAATAATTTGCAAAAACGTTTATTGGCAAATATGTATTAAATTAACGATCATATCTCTTTATTATTTCGACTGTGTGTTAGAAGTCAAATATATGCAATAAAACATTGGCAAATTAGCACTTGATATAGCAGTAAACATATAACATGTATAAAGAACAATTATGTAAATCTAACACCATTTGAATGACTTTATAGTCAGCTTTTCAAATGTATTGTTCAAAATATACCTTTGTCATTAAAAAATGGAAACATTTTTCATTTACTTGAATTAGTCATTTATCAAGTTTCATTGATACGAACTATATATAATTTGACAGCCGACATACACAGGAAAATCAGTATAGAGTATAGAGCATCACATGCATTCAATCAAGTAACAAATGTAAAAGCAATTCCTGGACTTAAAATAAAGTCACTTTACCGTAGGATTATAAAAATACTCATATTTATGCTTTGCAGATTGCCTTCCGTGGCTACCATTATTTAGCATTGCTATTGCATGGCATACAAAATAGTTCAACTATAAACATTTTAATGTTGTTGCATGAATGAGTCTATCTATACGTAGTTAGTATAATATATCATTCCGTATATGCACATGATGTTGTGGTGTTCTGTTTACTGTCTGTGTTTTTGTCAACCTTTGTTGCTTTTGTTCGATCTTTTAAGCGCTGAAATTAAAAATACAATTATGGAATCGATTATGTTAATCTAAAAGTGCATAAATTACTTAAAATATTCATCGACAGAACAAAGTGTAAAACAAATAGTATAATTATTCGGCAATCTTGTCACTCTTGAGATAAAAATAAGAGTTGATAACACATCTATTCATACGATACATGTACTGGAGGAATGATCAATACACGATAGAACCCAAAGATAACATTTTGCTAATCTGGATCTTAAACTATCTTGATCATTCGGTGTTTCAATGCAATTACTCATATTTTGATGGTAGACATGTTTATTCCTGTTCAGTAACAAAGGCCAAAATTTCAGAATCATACGTTTTAATGATACTATGAATGTGTTACCATTCATCTTAACATTATATAAATGAAGAATATTAAACAGAATGTTTTCATTCACTTTAACCTAAATCACTCAGAAAAACATGTTATCCTGGTATAAATTGTGAAATCACTGTTTACTTTCAATGTTACTGCCGATTTTATCAAATCAACAAAAAGGCGTTTAAGTTGATTCTGTATCTCTTGACTTTGACCGCATTTTGTTTGAAGCCATTTTATGTAGTTTATCACTTCCAATAAAACATTTTTCTTCGCTTGGCAAGGCTGGCTGGAATACAATAAAACGAATTAAGAACCAATAAGGATAGTTAAAGTTACACTGAAAAAGTTAGTGTCAGTGTAAATGCAATTATAACAGTAAAAATGAATACTATTTTTAGTTGCAATGTTTGTACCGATATACTAATAGTATGTTATCGTTATTTTCCAACAATTATTAAATACCCATCAACTTTACTAGTGCAAACACAGACTTAGCTACATTAAATCAGAGAGAAATGATTTGATTATACTGGGTCACTGAATTAAACAAGAATAAAACTAAGTCATTATTTAAAAATAATACTATTTTTCTTCATGTCTCTTCATGGAAAAGGAACAAATATAGGTATGTTTTACATGCTAGTATCTGTATAAACAATACATTGGTGTAAGTGTATAAGATAGACATTTTCAAGTTTTATCTATGCGATAAATGGTTGTGTGTATATTCAAATCATAATAATGACAAACAGAGCATACAATGGTCGTGACAACATTCGTAAATAAATGAAATAAACTAACAAAACAAATTGCCAAATCATTTAAATAGGACATGCTCTACGATGACATTAAAATTCGATATAAAAAATGTTAACAGATACCTAACTTAAAATAGAGACTGATTTGCCATACTACTTGCCGTGCTGAACGCAAATAAGTTCTTTAAAACAATGTACGATGTCCGTGTATCTGTTTAAATCAAAAAATTGTATGCGATTTTTGGAATTATTCCCGTATTTAGAAACAGTTTTAACAAGTAGCTTAGCTTTATGAATTAAACGTAATTTGATAGATCCATACTTTTTGTTGCAAATGGAAAATATATAACACGATATATAAAACACCTACCTTGAACTTCCTTCTGGGAGAAGGTTTTTAAGTTCTGTCAATCTTCTGTTTAATTCTAAACGCATGTTTCCCTTTCCTGTATTCAATTAAAAAAAAACTTACATAAAGGTAAATATTTACTGGCAGATGAATTCATGACAATTGCATTTCATAAATTTATGAAACAGCATTTAAAGGGCAATTTGCCCTCGAAAATGCATTTTTTTCAAAATAAAACAGCTTTAAAATTGTAATGTCATGGTAAAATTTCCAGAAAGTTTAGTCATTGGCCGAAGACCTATGCCAAGTCCTAAAGAAAATTAAATCATCAGCTATAGAAATATAACGAAAGAATTGTTGATTCGTTCATTCATTACTCCTTTGTTGACATTTGATTTCTAAAATTGCACACAAACTTAAATAATATCAAAAAGAATCAAAAAGTAGAATTTACATTTCTGACAAAGATCAAAGGATTCAAGGATTCACTAGAAACTGAAAGATACACAAACGATAATATCAGAATTAAAAGATAATTGTTCTTCAATTCTTTTTAACATCGTTTAGAGCTGAAAGCGTTTAAAGGCTTTTTATATTTGGGTCATCTTTTTCAATCGAGAAATAAATTCTTGAAATTGGAGTGAGCGTATATACTTAAGTTTTACATTGATCTAGACATACATCAGATGGTAAATAAATCATGCGATTAAAAATTGCATAACACACATACAAACAATCACAGTGGAGTCCCAATAGGGAAGTATAACATTCAGATTCATTGAAAATTTAATGGAAGTTAAAAGAGAAGTAAAATAATAAATCTCAATAGCGAACTAATGAAGTTACGTAAGCTCGTATATGTAACTTGCAATCTACACAAATAACGTAAAATATGTTATAGTCATGGCATTCTTCAAAATAACCATTACCTCGCTATTAACTGATACAGAATAAAGATATGGGGATAATATTATAAAATTCCCTTTTTGCATACAACAAACGTTGTATGGACTGTGTTTATTCATTGAATACTTTTTTGTTCTAAGATTCTTTGTATACAGTGTTCGCTTATCTTGAATCGTGCAACTTTACTGCTCAAAACACTTTCAAAATAAGTTTAAATTGAATTTTCACGTTTGTTTGTTAACGCGTTGATCCAAGACGCACCTTCATTTGCACTAATCTCCAGTGATTTGTTTGCATTTCCCGCAGATGGAGCCATCTGAAAAAGTGGCAGAGTCTGATTATTATAATTATTACACTTGCACTATTATCAGGTCTTTTTCATCACGCGTATATAATCGAACTCAACAGTATAATACTAAATTGGCGCACATTTATTCAAATGCAATCACTTGTTTATACATAGACATAAAGCACTAATAAAACATACAAAGCCACAGGTCAACAAATAACATCACAGAATATAAATGGTGTGAGTTCAAATGAAAAAGATATGTCAACTTTGTTACTGAAACCTTGGTGGCTATTTGTGGGTGTTTTGATTTTAATATTGTCTTCTTCATTTAATAATTAACTAAATTACTTCTGTCAGTTTATTTCTCCTCGTATCGTTTACATATTTGCATATTTTTTACGTTATTTATCCACTTAAGCAAAATGTAAGACTACTTGTCTTATTGATAAATGTGTTTTGTAATAACACATAGAGCCACCAGAAAGTTAAATTGAAAACAATAGCGTTTGATGTCATTTGTATCCTAATAAAATACAGCGAACTATCAAAATCTACATTGTTGAGATTTGCGTTCCCTAACTTTTCTAAAATATGTTCCATTTAGCTAATTGTGTCATTGATTGGCATAATGGAAAATGTTAAATGGACGAAGTCAACGACAGTTAAGTGTTAAACAGACATATCATGTCGGCAAGTAATTTAGAGACGGTTTAAATGTAGAGTAAAGGTTTAATGAAGCAATAAATTTAGTCATACGGTATACTTGTAAGCCATAAACTGTCATAATTCCTCATTATTCATACAAATTCAAGTAAGCTTATGAAATGTTTTTATACAACAAATGTATGTGTTAAGATTGTAGCTTAAATCAAATTTAGTTTTTTTTATATAATGAATATATATATATATATATATATATATATATATATATATATATATATATATATATATATATATATATATATATATATATATATATATATTATATCTTCTATTGCTTTAAAAGGTTTTGGATGTCATTTTTGCATTAATAAAATTCAGAGATAAACGGTAAGTCATTAGGCACACGATAACACGATTTTAGGCGAGAATTCGCTCTGGTCAGGATTTATAAATCACTTATCTGACGATGCGTTTTCTAGTAAAATTTTCATTGTACTCATAGCTAAGATTTGAACGTATATAAATAATAACACAAACAAGTGGCTCATTGCATACCATACAACACAATACCAAACTTATAAAATTTGTTATAATTACAATCAACACAAATACATGGAAAATGGCTATGTACCTAAGTAAATACACAATCATAAAAAAGTGTGAGACTTTATTTTCAACTGTTCAAAATTAGATGAAACAAAATATATTTTCATTTTATATTTTATATCTTATGAATAGCAAATGGAAGAAACTTTTAATAAAAAAAGACATTTAAAGCAAAATAACAAGCTTTAGGGAATTTTAAGAACTTTATGTAAAAGTTTTATTTATAAATGTTATTATATTTCATACAATGACAATAAAACAAACGCAAAGTATGGTTTGGTATATACTCTGTGTACAAATTTTATCGGATTTTATGCTCTGACTTTTTGTAAACTTTGTATCATTTGCAAAATTGTTTTATGTTTTACTTAAAGACATAAATCGTCCAAAGTCGACTTTATTCAAATTCTTATTAGGAGAAACTAAATCTAAATTGTAAACACATGCAATTATGTCCTCATTCCATTTTAACACCGGATTAGGAAAGTATAAATCCTAAGTCAAGTTTCTGTTAATTTTGATTTTACAAAGTCCTTGCTTAGCCTCTATAACACCTACTTATGAGTTAATTAAATACTAAATTGTACTTTCTTTCTCTAAATATATGTAATTGGAGTCGCTATAAGGAGACATTAGGTCAAAATATTTATAAATAGTTATTGAGTCAAATTTAGTAGTTCAGAATTTCATAGTTCTAATAAGTAGTTCATAAAGTTCAAACTTGATCGTTCAGAAATACCCTATTAGGTTTTCATTTCACCAACTTGGGAATACAATAATGATAAGAAAAGATTAGGTTATAATTCACAACTCAAAGAATATCTAATTTAAATTTTAGCTCAATCAGTGTCGATGTTGTGTAAATAATTATGCTTTGTGTTTTTTTTTTGCTGTCCATAATCACAAATAGTGTAATTATTGATACACTTTATAGAACTGAATATCTATAATATATTTTGCGTACATAGATTTTTGTATATTCACAATGGAAATTGCAAAAACAAAAATTAAAAATCATGTAACAATTCAAAATTCCTATAACGGATACAAATTAACCATGTAGCTTATGGTTATTATTTTTTTGTGTGTTTTTTTATTATTTTTTTGTATTGTTCCGATAAAACTTGTTTCACCGGTTTCTATAAAAAATATAGACGTCTTATTTGGGAAATGATTTGATGCCATTCATTTGTACCTAATTGCAAAATATATGCCTAACTTAATGATTATGTAACATATTACAAAATACAACAAAAACCGCTTGGTGATTCCATTCAACATAATATGATTATTTTATGCTTCTTTAATAAGAAACAAATTAACTGACTACTTTTCAAGCTTAGCATATTTTTATTTGTATATTTATACATAATAAGTTTTTTATCGTCATTACGAAAGAAAATGTACATTATACGTAAACTGTTTCCCGTAAATCAGACATTAACATGATCATAATGAGTTCACACAATAATGAGAGATTGGGTTTGAAAATGTTGTACTGCAGTATTACCATCTATAGTATTATACAAACATTTTTCACTTTGTTTACCGATTTCAATTCCGATTGATTTCTTTTTAGAATATAAAAATTACCCTGAACAATTTAATACATTTAACTGACTGTTTGACTGCATATAGAAAAAAATAAACAACATATACTGCAGCAACAATTGTATTGAAGTATGTTTTGATATCAATGGCTTATTACATAATAAATATTTATGCTATTATTTATTTATTTATCTTATTTTATTTATTTATTTTTTATTTCTGATAAATAGTATTAAATGCATATATCAATAAAGGAATATCCAAGATTAAACTCATTCTATATCGTTAGTTAAGAATTACTTTGCTATATATAACTGATACTAATTGAACTTCAACATCTTTTGAAGTATCCTTAAAAGATCACAAATATTTTGGATGATAATGAATATATATTTATTGTTAAAAAACGAAATTCCTTATTTTTACGAAACGTTATACTTATTCCGAATTTAAAAACTCTTAGTGATAGATGGTTGAAAACAGAGAAATAACTTGTACGTTACTTTTAATATTTGTCTCTTTATGTGCATATACTCATTTCTTGTAATCTGAGTAGGACCGAATGCAAAATGCTAAAGACGGTTCATGTCGTATTTTCGTCCATAACGTTTTATGAATAAAGAACAAAATCCGCTCATTTTTAGTATGTTACCCATACATTCGTTTACTGTACATCATTTTATTGCGAAAAAAAGCTTTAGGATTGTAAATTATTTAATAGTATGAACATTTATTTGATGAATATTAATTTTTGTTCAAGAAAAAAAAATAATGCTATATGAACTACTTCTTTAATATTGGATTATGTATTCCACACTTGTCAATAAAAACATATATATAAGCATTTCGTGGATTGATGCCATGTAAGAAATTAAAGAAATGGTATTGCAAACCTTCCATTTAACTCAGTTTATCCTAAATGCACATTGTTTCACCTTGCGAAAACAAAATTGATTTTTTTCTCCAAACTGTGAACTTATTGCAAAGAAATCAAATATGAAATGCGAATAAAAACTTATATTCTTCTATCGAATGGTTCGATATATTTAGAAACGATAAGCATCGGCAAAAATGTATCCAAAAAAATTGATATGATCTCAAAAAAAATAATTAAATGATCATTTTTAGCTAAATTATCATAATTTTACCAACCTGTTATCAATGTAAAATAATCAGATAAATGTGCTTAAATCGCTTTTACTGTTTGTCATGTTATCTGATTATGATGTTTTAATAGAAAATCAATAATAGATATCTTTATTAATAATTTGTGTCTCGTGTATAATAGTAAGGGTCATAACTGATTGTAGAGAAATGTCTTACAATCTACTTTAAATATAGTTTATATAAGGTATTACTTGCAATATGCTATGCATGTCTTATCTCCAAATAACATATATAATTAGATAGAACATAGTAACATTGTATATGGTACAAAAATGGTGTTTGTATTGTTCTCTTTGTTGTTGTTTTTTTTTCTAAGTAACTGATTTTTTAAGATTTCCAAACAATTCCTTTAATAGTTCTGCAACGACAGGTTTTAAATTTTATATATCCAGTATATCAATTTATGATATTTCTGGTTTTCAACATCTTTTGAAGTATCCTTAAAAGATCACAAATATTTTGGATGATAATGAATATATATTTATTGTTAAAAAACGAAATTCCTTATTTTTACGAAACGTTATACTTATTCCGAATTTAAAAACTCTTAGTGATAGATGGTTGAAAACAGAGAAATAACTTGTACGTTACTTTTAATATTTGTCTCTTTATGTGCATATACTCATTTCTTGTAATCTGAGTAGGACCGAATGCAAAATGCTAAAGACGGTTCATGTCGTATTTTCGTCCATAACGTTTTATGAATAAAGAACAAAATCCGCTCATTTTTAGTATGTTACCCATACATTCGTTTACTGTACATCATTTTATTGCGAAAAAAAAAGCTTTAGGATTGTAAATTATTTAATAGTATGAACATTTATTTGATGAATATTAATTTTTGTTCAAGAAAAAAAAATAATGCTATATGAACTACTTCTTTAATATTGGATTATGTATTCCACACTTGTCAATAAAAACATATATATAAGCATTTCGTGGATTGATGCCATGTAAGAAATTAAAGAAATGGTATTGCAAACCTTCCATTTAACTCAGTTTATCCTAAATGCACATTGTTTCACCTTGCGAAAACAAAATTGATTTTTTTTTCTCCAAACTGTGAACTTATTGCAAAGAAATCAAATATGAAATGCGAATAATAACTTATATTCTTCTATCGAATGGTTCGATATATTTAGAAACGATAAGCATCGGCAAAAATGTATCCAAAAAAATTGATATGATCTCAAAAAAAAATAAAATTAAATGATCATTTTTAGCTAAATTATCATAATTTTACCAACCTGTTATCAATGTAAAATAATCAGATAAATGTGCTTAAATCGCTTTTACTGTTTGTCATGTTATCTGATTATGATGTTTTAATAGAAAATCATTAATCGATATCTTTATTAATAATTTGTGTCTCGTGTATAATAGTAAGGGTCATAACTGATTGTAGAGAAATGTCTTACAATCTACTTTAAATATAGTTTATATAAGGTATTACTTGCAATATGCTATGCATATCTTATCTCCAAATAACATATAGAATTAAATAGAACATAGTAACGTTGTATATGGTACAAACATGGTGTTTGTATTGTTCTCTTTGTTGTTGTTGTTTTTTTTCTAAGTAACTGATTATTTAAGATTTCCAAACAATTCTTTTAATTGTTCTGCAACGACAGGTTTTAAATTTTATATATCCAGTATTTCAATTTATGATATATCTGGTTTTCTATTTGAATACCATATTTCAAATTTGTAATGATTGTTCAAACTTAACATTTTCTTCGATATCATCATGATAAAATTTATCATAAATATGTCTACATATGATCATAAATGTATAATCTATGTTTGGTATAACACATTATAACTGCTTTTCGAAATAATCATGTCTATAAACTTTACACTTACCATCAATAATTATAAATTTAAATTATATGCCGATCACTCGCAGTTAAAAATAAAGTTTGAAGATTTTTAAACGCGCCGGGTAAGAAATTCGAAAATTACAGACAGCATTGTCAAATAATAAGTTTCAAAAATGTCATCCTCAAAACTAGATTTTTTAAAACGCAGTTGCTTTATTAATAAAATAAGATATTTCTTAGTAATAGTTTTTAAGTATTTTAGATAAGATATTCTCGGGAAATAAATGTAATTTAAATTGATATTACCAATCCATTTGCTTGGCTTGCCTTCTCTAGAAGCGCTTTCAGGTTCACAGAAACACTGTTTAGTTCTTCAATAAACGAGTCATCAATTGTGTCAGCCATATCTGTATTAACAACAAGTGGTGTAATAAGTTTGGCTAACCCTGTCTCTTCCAAAATCTTTTCATCGACTTCGCTAATTATAACTGTCTCTTGCGACGTTTGCATGCTGTTTTCTGTTTCGAAATTCGATTTGCTTTTGTTAAAAACACAGTAAAAAAGTTCTCGTATCGATATACTACTATCGATATCATCATTTGAAACGATTATTTTATCTTCAATTTTATCTTCTTTTTTCTGTACATATTCAGCCATATTTATAAGTCGAATCTAATACTAGCTGTAGTACAGATGTAAATGATTCCGTTTGTATATAAATCTTTCCTCACAGTGTATAAAGGCACGTCTGTCTTATTTACTGCATAATATTTATTGTTTTACCTATTAAATGTCATGTCACTTAAATTTTCTGATCACTCAAAATCGGTTATAACTAGTTAATGTTTGCTTAGGAACACCCTCAAAATACAACGAACTGAAGACATGATTGTGCTAATATATTAATCAATTAAAACTTAAACTATTCAAAATGTCATTATTTAGGACTTGATACATTGGTTATTAACCAATATAATAAGCGCTTTAAAATATGTTTATATAAATTGGCATTTTAAACAGAAAAACATTGAAGAAAAAAGGGATACATACTAAGATATTACGATTATCATTGGGGAAACAACCTCTATTGCAAAAACATAATGCATCTTATTCCATACGTCTAATTTGTGTCAGGGAATGTACTATTTTTCGGGCGATTATTTTTTATGAATGTTTGAGTTGGTGGTGTGCAGTAAAGTACTACATCTAGCTTAGTCTAAGGCCTTAAGCTAATTTATGAATATACATTTTGGTTTTAGAAAACGACTTTATGTGTAAGTTTCCTTTCATAGAATTACTTTAATACATCATTATTGACAATGTATAACAATCTGCTTTAAATAACGAATAAGTATCTGTAAAATAAACTCTTAACACTTATATCAATTTTTTTACATCAACTGTGAAAGTTAATAAGTAATTGTTAGTTCTGCGCAACTGATAACTTTCTTAATCTATCTCTTACTCATAAAATATCTAAAAATAGTAAACCAAATAGCAAAACCATATCATTTTGAAATCCAAATTAATAAAAAAATGTATTGTATCATGCTAGGTGCATCACCACTATTGTACAGACACTTTTATGTTACTAAAACAAATAAAAATTCGACTTATTGGACTATGCTAGTAAATATGAAAAAAAATGATATTTTGTTGACGATTAGTTAGCATCTTAAATCTTACTTGTGTATATATCTAATAAATTTGTGAATTATTTAAATGTATTCAGTTTACCTTTGGATATTTGGGCAGTCTTATGTAAATTAGCATATGTTATTCAAAATGACATATTTATGAAGGAGATAGCATGGACATGTATTGATATGTAATTTTATTGTCATTGTAACATTTGCTAAGCACTTAATATTCACTTGCTTGCTGTTTGTGACAGTAATTTTCTAGTGATCGAATTAATTCGGATATTTCAAGTCAGGAAAAGTCTATCAATTTCAGAAAATAGAAATAAACAAGGTCAAATCTGAAACATGTAATAAATATCGTATTTTATTTAAAAAAGAAAACGTTTATATGTCAAATATTTCAGCCAAAGATTCATTTATACATGAAATTTGAAATGAAATTTTGTTTAATGTAAATGCTTATTACTGAAAAAAATAGCCCTGAATGTTCAATAATTTATCAGAAAGGTACAGTGTGTAAGTACACAATCACTACATTTGTTTTAACCCATTACTTCATGAGAATTTTTGTGAAAAATGGCTGTTTGCATTGAAAAGTGTCCCGTTACAAGTTCAAATTGCTATAAAACTAAAAAAAAAACTGCTTCAATACTAATCAAACTAGGCACAAATGTTGACTGGACCATTGATTGATTGATTTTCTTTAGACCGGGCGGTCAAGGATAACCTACGAAAGTGCAATCACTTATTTCCAGTAGGATCCTTACCTCAGAGGACTACAGAGACAGCTATGAAATCCGGGAACCAGGCCCTAGCTCTTATTGAATATATTCTTGGTTCTTTTACATGCCCAGTGTATAACACTGATACATGCATGGATTACCTGGGTTTTGTACCAGTTAACCTCTAGTTAGGTGGGAAACACTGAAAGTGTTTCTGAAAAATCCCAAGGGTGTTACCCGAGATCGAACCCGGAACCTCAGGAGTGACAGTCAGTGGTCCAACAAACTGAGCTATCGCGCCATTTATTGACCATTGACTTTGTAACAAAATGCTTAGTCTCAAATTTCCTGTTACCATGGCAACGAAGGGACATCACAAAATTGCCAGTAATCACTTTTTTGTGTTGATTTTTTTCCCATCAAAATTGATTTCAAAGTGCTGCAACTTCTCAATGGATTGAGATAAAGTCAAAGGCCTTTAGGCCTTGGTTACACGTTACCTTATGATCGATCTGGCGTCATATTTAGCCTCTCACAAGTCCAAAATTTTCTTGGCGATGACGGGGACTGCCGCCCCCTTCAAAACCCCCTAAATAGAAGGTGGCACATCCCCTTTCTGGCAACCCCCTGATGTATCTTTTGGATAGGGGGCGCGTTGAAAAAGTGGTCACTTTTTAAACAACAATTCTCAAATAAAAACAAAACAAATATATTTCAAATAACTTTATTGCGAATAAAATATTATTACAATGTTTATGGCAAACAAGTGTTGGGGCCTAAATAAGGCATTTATTCACCATTTGAGATAAGTAAAAAAAGTCGAGAAATAACGATCAATTTTTAATTCAAAGTAGTAAAAGAGGAAGATGTTATGTGATCTATGATTTTGCTGTACGTTTTGACCATATTTAATGTGAATTTCTACATAAACACAATTTGTAACTTAGTAGAATTATAACTATGAAAGTATTGCCTATTTAATCAATATGGTATCTTAACTTTCACCGATAAATTATTTGATATAATACATTCTGTGCTAAAACCGGACTTCCAGAATAAAAGAAATTAACCCCAACACATATGTGAGAAGATAAAACATATTGCAAAAATAAAATTGTCGACATTTGCTAATTTATATAAAACATTTGGGGCAGAGATTGTGTAAATTGTTTGTTAAGTGTTACTTATTTTTCAAATTGCTTGCGATCTGTACAAAGAAGTATTTCGGCTGTCAAAAATGCTTTTTGAAACGCGTGTGCGTTAAATATGAGTGCACGATTGTATGTAAATGTACATTTACTGTACTTTAAGTGTCAAAATAGTTGGTATATTAGTAAGTGCTAAAAATAACCTCTTACAGTTGGGAGCTGATCACTTTGGTGAATTTTTCTTTTTCAAATGATTCACAGTACCGATGCATTTAGTAAATACACATGTATGGCCGTCAATAATAATTGTTTAATGCATTCGTTATGTTGTGATACACACGAAATCATGTTTATTTCAAGTATCATACAAGTTCTATCTTCTCGTTTTATCAACTGTATATTTGCCACGGTATAATTTGGCAATGACTGTTGTAATTAGTACAAAAAATAACTGTTAAAATTTTATTTAAAGTAATAAAATCATAAAGTTGTTTATTAAAATATGCCACAATATACCAGAAAGAAGTGTTTTTAGAAAGCATAAAGTGACTGTTTCATGCCTATTGTTGAAAAGGCAATATTGGTTGTAGATACTGCTTGCAGTTAAATTTGCGATGATTATATACATTGTGTAAACCAATTATAGTCGTTAAGAGAGGCATTTATTGAGAGACATAAACATGTATGTGCGTGTGTTGTTAAATTTTCGGCACTACTGTACATTTCGAACACTATTGATCTAATATCGGAAACGTTTCAACTTCTGTTATACACATTTTAGGCTCTTACTTAAACGTGATGCTCCGCAAAAGAAATGTAATATACCCTATGGTGGTGTTTAATATCTGCACGTTTGGAATATGAATCTATTAAATATTAATTGTAATATCTACATAATTTCTTGCTTTCATTTCGATTTGTACTTAAACTAGAAAGAACGATATTCGGAATCATCAATACCTGTTTTGCTCGTTATTGGTTAGATGCCTCTCTAGGGGATTGGGAGACGTTATTAAGTCGTTGGTTAATGCGAAATAATGAAAGATCGTAGAAATGGATTAATTAAGCCAAATATGTCAGTCCTTTCTTTTAAAAATATTTATACTTCTCAAATGAGGCATTATGTGTGAATCTTAGTTATAAATAACATGTACAAAACACAATCTTACCTTTCATTATTTGTTATGTTTATGCTTTCAAATTTGAGCATATGTTGTATATGTAATTATAAACAGCTTTTATGTTTGTACAATGATATGAAACAATGTATGTCAAAATGAGTTTCATTTTCAATATTTAGAAGGTGTATTCTTTTAAAAGGGACCATCTTTATTCATTGAAAACCTGAAAAGGGTCCGTAATTACGCTGTTTAAATAAATGTGCACATAATAAATTATTTTTTGTCTTCGCATTATTATATTAAAGTGTCAAATACTGCTTAAGCCGCTGACAGACAGGGATAGACGGTATCTGCTCCGGTAAAAGTAGTGTAATAAAGGTGGCTAGACAAAAATGAATACGAAAGTAAATTTTGTCAATTATCATGGTATTTATACTTGTTTACATATATTCAAAGGGACAACTGAATTGGTATATAGCTATATCTTATGAATTTGTATTTTTATTATAAAAGGTAAATTATTGTTGTTTTTATAACCTCATAGTCGATTCTTGAAAGATTTGTAACTTAATATATCTGCAATTTTACACACATAAATGCTGTTTGAAAACAGAATTCAAGTAAAGGAACAAAATATTATTCTGCTATTTTAGGTACGGTTTAAATCATATAGCGAGTATTTTGTGCATCTGAAGGAAATATACAAACAAACTTTTTGAATTTTTCCTTTTTCAGGTTTCATATTATTTCTTTGTATACTACAGGAGGCAGAGTATTTCAATAGTACTATTCGTATTATAAAATGAAAGGAACATAAATTACATTTTTTTCATCCATTTTATTTCAACATTGTAGTCAGGTATGTAAAAACATAGCTATTTTATTTCATTGTTATTTTTGAATTACTGGAATTAATTATGACTTCATACAGTCATCTTGAAACGCTGAAGCAAGTGTATCCCAAACATCATCCAATGCCATCGTTTGTGACAAAGGTGGAATCACCTTCTTCTGTAAAGGATCATTCAATACCGTATCATATCTCAATTCACTCGTCTCTCCCATTGGTTGCATCTCGGTTGAGTTATTGTTTTCAATATTAGCCTTTTCAGCATTTGGTGCAGACCGCATCTCTAGCATCTATTACAATATATATTGTTATGTCTAAAGGGAATCTTTAATTAGCTGATTAAAAAAGTTTAGAAAACAGTAACTCATCAATACATTGGTATTATTTAAAGCATCAAGTGTACAGAGTCACATTTTTGTTTTGTTATGTATTAAATTACGAAACAAGTTTAAGTATACGTTTTCTTTGATTTCAGAAAGCTATATATACGTATAAATATTGCAGTTGCAAACATGCCATAAAGTATCAAATTATTATAGATATTTTTCTACAAGAATTAAAACCACATAGATATAAACTTTGTTTATGACTTGCGTGAAGTAAATCTAAACTTCCCATTATATTTTAAATGTATTAAAATGCAATAAACAATGTTTCCTGTAGCGATAAAGTATTTTACATCCAAATTGTTCTTTAAATTCAATCTAAGAATTAAAACAATCGTTCAAATTAAATATTCCAAACATTGAAATTATCAGTACAGCGTAAATGTTTAAATGATTCACATTGTTCATATTAGTTATTTTCATATAAGAAATACTATGCTTAGCTTTGTGAAACATATTTATGTAATATTTATTTTTTCGTAATGAAAAAACTTACTGATTTTGTCCAATTTAAATATGCGAATGCACTTACTATAACTGAAAAGCTGCATTTCCTATTACTGGTCAAGTTAATTTGGTCCATTATATTCAGTAAATAACACTATGTTTTGATATTTAATTTACCCATAGCGTAACATATATTCTCTGTGTGTACTTAGAAATGCTTAGCAATTATCTATATTTTCGTACATCAAAGTTGAGGATGATATATCCTAAAACTCGTACCTCCAAACGTGCAGCAAGTTGCTTGCTCTCGAGATCAATTTCGATGATTTTTTCTTGTAATTTCTTTGTCAGATTAAGGTCTGTTTGTAGCTTTCTAATGTAGTCGACAGATTCTTTTAAAATAGAACCTTTGTTTGTGCATGTTGCTCTGAAAAGTTACAAATAAACAGAAAAGAAATATATGTTCTATATAAAAGGAATTTTCTTACTAAACGCTTTTCAAGGACAACTTTATTAAATATGTTTTTAAATATTATCCACCCGTTTAATAGCTAAAATGTCTTTTGTTTAATTTTCAACTATAACTGTTTCAATATTTGTGTAAGAGCAATTCTTTGATCATATTGAAAAACACAACGGAAAATTTCGAATTTTCTCAGGAAAATTGAAATTTCTATGACAATAATACTCTGAAATAGCTTGCAATCCTTTTTTAAATACTTTCATCTTACATTTCCAAATGAAGAAGCGACAACATTTGCTTATTCTTACACGATGGCAATGAATCCGTTGCTAGTTTGGAGTATTACTTAACAGCATAAAATGTGCTTTGCTTTTTATTTTGATGTTAAAAAGTATATTTATTATTATAGTGAATTAACATCGATATTGTGGGATATTGACTGATCAAAAAATAAATAACCTTAGGTTTTCCTCAACGTTCGGCATGTTTCGGTAACACGGAAAAATAAACACACATATTCAGTAATTATGTTTGACTATAAACACAGGCTAGTCGATAAAACCAAAGTATTAAATGCAAAATTTCTTCAATGAAAAGTGATTTTGATACTACTAGAAAAAGTATATAAAAGTGCATTTTTATGGAAGTCGAAGTAATACCAAGGACTAGGTAGACATATTTCCGTCAAAAACAGTATATGTTTTAAGACTTGATTGACAAAGTGAATGTCAAAGTAAAGATATAAATGTGTCATTCTTACATGAAATTCGTTCGGCGATGATTATGCTAATTTGAATTTAAATTAACATCCTATCATTTAATGTGAATATCAATGTTCAAAGGAAGAATGTGATTGCGATAAATGTTCTGTTTATATTTAAATGAGGCGGAAATGTGTAAACTCAGATTGGTTAGTTTGTATGTAACAGCCCAACGTCTAAATGTTAAGCAGAGATTGGTTGTTGTACAACGTCAAGTAACAATGATATCTTTTGAAACAGTACCAAAAATGTTTTAAATGAACGTTGTATCCTATTTGATTGAGGCATTGCCTTACTAAATTACTCACTTAAAGATTACGCTTATTATAATACATGCTTAAAATTTATGTACATTGCATGTAACAATTTAGCTCACCGATTGACATCTTCTGGGAGAAGGCTTTGAAGTTCAGCAATTCTGTCGTTAATAAAAGATCTTCTTCGCTTCTCAACTGAAAAATAATTGTAATGTTTAAATAAAATATCAAGAATTAAAGAAACGTGGGTATTTTTTAAAGAAAAACTTAAAATCAAATCTAAGTTTAAAATATTTTATGTTATGTGTCCCCTTCTCTGTATATTTTTCTAATTTTCCCTTTTACTTGAAAAACTTTGTGGCTTAAAATGTTTTCCTTTTTTGGAGGCGGGGTTGTACCATGTGTGCAAGGGATACGGGGAACTTGGGCAAAAATTTCTAAAAAAAAAAATTTTTTTAAAAGAGCTACGTTTATTTATAGTTTATAAAAATATAAAATGGTTATGAGCATAATTTATTTTAATTTTATGTGGCTTATTGAAAAAAATTAATGCGGTATTATTATTATTCATTTGGTAAAGAAAGTACTTTTTAAAATTGTTATAATAAATACTTTTTTACATTTTTTAATTTTAAAATTTTTAATTTTCTATAGAACCGACATGGCTGAACGAACAGATGTTATATTTTTAACACAGTTACTTCGCTGAACACATGAGTTTGATCTGTGTCATCTTCAGAAGGTATCATTGTCAAACTTAAAGGACAAACGTTTCTCCCTTTTGTGTCAAAGGTTGATATGTCTGTTTGAATTCTTTCCGTTTGTTCTTGAACAGTACGGTTAACACATTGCTGTCCAGGAATAAAAGACGATACTTCCATCTGGAAAGAGTTTTCACGTTTTTATTGTAAAATGTACAAATGTGCTAAAGTGTTTAAATATCTTGTCGTATACATTTGAATAATTTTTACCAATACAGTAATGTTTACTTAAATATAATCAAATGGTTAGATGTCCATTACGTGTTTCGGTATGATGATGCACTGAGTCATAGACCTAATTATTTGCCATTAACACCATGCAGCGATAAAATGTAAACGCAAAGACTTACAAAAGGAAATGTTGTTTCAGCATAATTCATTTCCGTTGGAATATTGTTGTTAGGCTCATTGATGATATTGCAGCGCTCAAAGTTGTTGATTCTAGCGCTTGTGGACATACCAGTCATGAAATGATGATTTGCATTTTCTCTTGGAAACTCAGGTTTCGCTCTAGGGACATCATTAGGGCGTTGTGATAATCCACATGATCCTCTTACCTGTTTGATATACATATAAAACTAAACATACAAGTATGCATGTGTTGTTGTTGTTTTTTTTTTCAATGTATTTATTTCATTTGTAGAATCAAAATCTGTTATGACAATGCAGACAATAATTGTGCAGTTTGTTTCGTGATTAAAAATAAAGAGGATTATCAATATTTTTACACCAATGCTTGACAAATGTGTTTTACACAACTGCGTAATACAAAACGCGTTCTCTTAAACTTACACCATTCTAGCATGCTTTTTAGGCACTATTTTCATTCAAAGAACGATGCCATTTTGACGTTATCAATGAAGTTGTTAAATTAAATGCTTCTATAGGATAAATATACAACAAACAATTCAGTTTTGTTTCAAACATATGATTAATATGAAATATCCGAAAAATAATAAAAAAATTCAAATACCCGCTGTCATCGTAGACAGGGATTTCTAGCTTTCTGGAAAAACTCGGAAAAGCCTTTTTACCGCCGTAAACGGTTAAAATCGTGCTAGATATTCCGGTTTTTATCGACAGCTGGTGTTAGATCGTTATAAAATTGCATTTTAAATTTTTGTATTATGAATATCCCTGAGCCAATGTATGTTAATTTGACTGCTTAAGCAAGTGAATCACGATCACCTGACTAAAATCGTTCACTATAATCAATTACTTAAAAGTAAATATAAATGGTCTCGTGGCTCATATTCAGAAATCTAGTCAAGTGATATACCTGTGATAGACAGAAGCTTATCCTTCAGGGTTAAATTTATCAAAATAGAAATATCTGTCAAATTGTACAAAGGGAAACATTAATACAATGCAGTTAATCTAAGAGGCTTGCTTAATTTGTTTTTGGCCAACTCGTTGTTTAAACTTAGTATATAATCTAATATTGGTCGTGATTTTGTCACTATACGCAAAGAAAAAAACAAAAAACAAAAAACCAACAGTGTTTAACTGCCAATAAACACTGTTTAAGGACTACATGTTTATCCAGCTGTTTTTTTTTAATTATTATTCTATCCAACAAAAATTCGTCAAAAGGCCGCTATTTTAAACTGACTGGGTAGGAAAAAATAAGTCGAGAACCGATACTATCATAATACAATTCAGTCTTACGCGTTACATAATAAATTGTTTATAATTTATAAACTTTATTAACTAAAACTTAGATAGTTCTTAAACACAAAAGAAGTGACGAACTTTAAGATCACGCTATTAAACGTCAAATATATATGAGTGCAATTCCCGGTAACTGTTTATCAATAACTTAATTGTTAAAATAACATAGTACAATATGGTAGAAGATACTCAGTTTAATATGAATTCATTAAAATAGAAATAATAAGAATTTAGGTAATATTCGTTTAAATTGGATTTTTAAGCATATTTAAATACATTGTGTCATAAAAATTAATTTCAAGTTAACGATAAATAAATTTTTGAGAGTGGTTTGTCAGGTTACACCTAAACAACATTAAAGAAATCTAAAATATCAAAATTGAAAGATAAAAGTACATAATAATATGTTTTATGAATTTGAAATTTGAAATTATCATTAAATATGTCTATAAATTAATCATTTTTCAAATGTTCTCTTTTATTTTTTAATCTGCTCTCTAAGGTATCTTTGCAGGTTTGATTCTAAAAATTAACCGAAAATAATAAGTTTACTCAAATTTGTTTTTGCGACAGTACGTAATTACACTATAATGTAGACAAACTAATTAAAATCAATGTGGAAATTTATAGCTAGATAATAATTACATTGACAATTTATTTATTTATGTGTAATTAAGAAATGTCTGATGAATTGTGTGTTTTCTTTTTTCTCCAGACTGCAAAAATAATCTTGTATTCAAAAATATGTCATGAGCATATAAAATGCATAGACCTTATATTTTCTGCAATCTGCTTAAAAATGCGTCCCATCGTTAATTGTCGGTGTTTATTTGTTTTTATTTTAGTTGATCAATCATTTATTTATTTTGCAGCTCTCTTGTTTTATTACATATTTTGAACATAAAAAAAGAAACATAAAAAGTAAATAAAATGTTCACTTCAAACGCGATACGTTAATCTCGCGGCTCATATGATGCCAACGATTTGAAACTTAGATTAAAAGCTTAGCCATATTTATTAAAACCAAACATTTAATTAATTATGAATGCAAATACCAAATGGCACGACGATAACGAAATAATTTAAAGTAAATAAACTAATCACTTAGAATAAAATAAAATAAAAGAGAGGAAACAATATAAATCAACATTTCAACACTGTTTTAAATTGCTTCGTGATATTAATCTATGAAGCTTGTAATTATTTAAACTGTTATTGATAGTTAACATTTAAAAAGAACATTTGTATGGTCATAAATAGTAAAATATGTTGGCTTTCGGGTTTTTTTTTCTGCGTCTTGAAAATGCCTTAAATGAATGTAACTGGTTGTTTGGATATATTAATCTTTAAAAGGCAAAACAATGAACAAGTAAGGGAAAGAGGTACAGAAAATTTGTTCAAATACTTTATTCAGATATCTTTATGTATTTGTGAAGATTGTATCATTTATACCAATGCACTTTGCGGTTAAATGGACTGCTTGCTACGGAACACAAAATCATTATAAGCTTAATAGTATTACGTAATTTTAATGGGAATGCCATATAAGATCACATTTGTCTTACAAAATCACTTACCTGCAAAGCATTATTCCTTGCGATGTTCAATATATGTATTTGGGCAGACAGTATCTTTTCCAATTCCCCAAAGTATGATGAACCATCATTTTCAGGCATTACACTTTGTGTTTCATCACTATGTTGATCACATACATTTTGCTGGCAAAACGATTTTCTGTCTTGGTACTGACCATGATTATCCTCTGCGGATGTTTGTCCAACTTCTCTTTCTAAACAATGCGATCTTAAAATGTAATCAGACATTTTGAAGCGCCTACGTTTTGAAAGCCGTTTTTAAAATAATACAGATGTGTCTCTACCGCGCCGCTTACGATATACACATATTGTATGCTGACTTTGGTATATTTACGTGTATATGACAAGCAAGCTACATACACCTTACATGTAGATATTACCTAAGACAAATTTAATCGAAATCTTTAGTAATTCAATGCAAAACCTACACGGCTTGAATATGCCTTTTTGTAATACCTTGTTATCTTTATTGACACAGCATACCATGCATGCAACAAGGTGCTTTACATATGTATGTTGTTTTTTTTGTTTTTTTTTTTGGTTAAACAATCTAATTGAAGCTCATTTTACTATGTATATCAGCTCTACAATAAAATTTAATCAAATTTCACTTGTTATGATTTTTTAAAACAAAATAATGTCAATATCATATGTTTGGGCTATTTTTATTCTTTTTATTACTGGAGTTGATTATGTAACTGCAACAAAAACAAAAAATAGCATAACAAAATGATTTTGCCTGTCACAAAAGCTACTTAATTGATAATAAAAACATAGCAAGACATAAAATGGTTAAATTGAAATTTAATTTCAATTTGTTTATTACTTATATAGGGAGGAGCTTAACTAACTATCATACGGTAGTGCATGCCACCTTTTTCCATTTGTAACCAATGTAGAATAAATTTTCTATTCTTAAAAAACTGAAAGGGAGGAGGGCGTGAGCTTTTTCCTCACTCATTTCTCATTCATATTATTGAAATCAAACCAAAATAACTAAGGCTACTACCGATATTGTTCCCCAAGAGCATGTTAATCAGTTTAATATCATAGCTTATAATGCGATTTTCTATAGTCAACTGCAGGGATACTAGGAACTATTATCAAACCAATAACCTTTGCAACCTGCCTTATTGATGCTTTAGATATGAAACACGCATTTTGACATTTAAAACCAAGTTGTCTTGTTTAAGCCAATGTGAGAAGCATGTCGTCAGCATTAAGGTTGTACAAGTAAAGGCATGCAGTAGCAGGAATTACCACACACTTTTTCATGATTTCTTACTTGCTTCATCAGTGGCTTCAAGTTTGCAGTAGCTTTGATATTCTCTTCACATAATTATAACATTCGCCTTACAACAAAAAATATCGTCATTGAATGATTTTTAATATAGACAATACAACGCAATCAGGTTAAGAGTTTTGTAAGTTAGGCTTAGCAGGTATACAGGTAATTTTCTTTCCACCAAATGAAACAAAAACATTTTACTAAATAAAATGTAAAACTTGTCTCCATTTCAAAATGTTTGTTGGAAACAAATTCATTTAAAACCAATCAATATCTCAATTTCTGTTTTTGCCACAACAATATTTTGTTCTTTGTCATAAGGAACCTTTTCTTTCTGTCTGAGAAGCTCTTTTTTCAGGATCACTAACTTTACATTCACAAATATTAAAATTATACTAAAAGTGAGACAAAATATGTACCTGAAGAATCAAAACATTGTGACAATGCTTCACTTATTATAATTTGAAAATCACTTATAAAATTTTGGTAAAATTGCCATTTATTCTTCTTCAAAACAATCATTTACCTGTTCTACCCCTTAAACAGCACCCAAGTACCCTGCCACTCGTATGCCTGTTTGACATACCCCGGTCCCTTGGTGTTCTGTCGCGGCCATCACCGCCTTTGAAGAGGACTCCTCTTTTTAATTTACGTGCAGGACCTCATCGAAAAGGTTGGCGAATAACATTTAATTGCTAATAAAAGAATAGTCTTCAATTTTATTTGTGAGCATGGACACCCGTCCTAAACAGTAGTTTTGCAAATGTTTTAGTGTAATATCAGGTACGAGTGTATTCCTAACTCATTTTATGTCTAAGCAAATATTTACCAATCTATCAACGCCAGCTAGTCATAACATTGTTCAGTCACAGTACCATGCTTATCAATACACGAAAAGACTCAACATACATAATTAAATATCTAATATTGAGATATTGGTCATTATCTTATGACTTTATATGATGTTTGCTTAGAATGAATGATACTTTACTGTTTTCATTAGTAACTTGTTAATGATTGTGAATAAAATTATTGATAAGCCATTTTGCATTTTAAGACGACCTAGTCTATTTTTGTGATTTTAATAACAGTATTTACTACTAGCTTAGACTTTGTACACCGACCAAGAATGCTGATTCATTATGACAGTGTGACTGTTGCCATATACGTATAACAAAGCTATTCGTTTGATGTCTGCTCTTACTTGTTTGTGATATTAGTTATTTGTAAATAACAACTGATTATGTTTTAAATGAATAACATTACTGTCATCATAGCAGTCACTATATTGCAAGAGATGGTGCCAATTAATAATGTCGATTAAATACAAAAATGAGTTTTGGGTAAAAATAGTTATTTGTAGGCATCTAGATTCTACTCTATAAGCAATGAGGCATGAATAGTTCAATTTATGTTGCCACACTCGACATGTTTGAAAACCTGTGATTCTTCTTTGATAACAGTGGGAAAGGGAAAATGCATGTTGACATTTCAGTTGTAATTCCAGAGCTATATTATATAATAACATGATCATTGTAAATCGTATATCATAAGTATTATAAGGTAAATGTGTTCGTTATTGAAACATGGTGAAAAAAGTTTTGAAAAAGGTAGTATGACATTTTCAGTATGTATTGAAGTTATTGAATATCAAATACAGTTGATGACATTGTGACGCTAACCGGTGTTAGGAGGCGTGAGGGATGTTGCACTATGGGTTAACGCCATTTTTCGTGTTATAACGTCTGCAGAGTCCCGAGGAACGGTTGGTGCCCGAGCCCGGTTCCGAAGGACTCTGCAGACGTTATAACACGGAAAAACGTGCGTTGACGCCATTATAGCATAAAATTTTTAACCAGATTCATATTTTTAATTCAAAACAAATTCATAAATACCGGGAACACGGTTGCGCTTCGACGGTATTTATCCAATTCGCACGTCGCTTTGGCAACAAGTTTTACATATGCGTTTAATTTTTCGGGGCAAACAACTTGGGAAATAGAAAAGGTCGGCACCGAAAGAAATGTCGAGTTTTAATAGATTTATGAAAAAAAAACTCAGCCTCATGGCATACTTTTAACAACTATGATGAAATTAAAGCAGTGTTTTGTATTGAAATTGATAAAAAGTTGATAGGCGTAAGGACAATGTATCCTTTTTTAGGCCTCGTGTATCATCACACGTTGTGTACCGCACAAAAAGTCAAAATGGATGCAGCTGTTGATTTATAAAGGGATAATACTATTCATTTCGTGGAAAAAATTAGGGTTATACCGGTAGATTCCTTTGAGACACACTGCAATAAATGTATGTTTCATTTGTATTTTCTGACTGAAACCTGAAGAAAAAATAAAAGACTGTTAAACTGTTATGTTGGTGAAACCATTTATGTGAAGGAAACAATGATGGACACACTGAAATAATGAAGAGTTAAAAAACAAATGAAGACAGTGAAGTTTCAGTTCTGTAAGTAGATCCATACTACATGTATAATTTTATTTCATTAAACGTTACAACATGTAATTTTTTTACAAATCAATTAACAATTCAAGGCACAATAAATAATTTAATAAACATGTAATGTATTTTTATTTAATTTTGCTGAGTACTATACTTTACATTCCAATATTGGCAATAAGAATATGTCCAATTTATCATTTTCTCTTTCCTTGACTATTCACATACAGTTATGACAAAACTTTATTCATTTATAAGGTCTGAAGTGAACTTATTAACAGTTCTAAAGTTCTAAACATTACCTGTAATAATTTATCATATTCATAACAGATTCTTCAAACCAGAAGGCATTAAATATCTAGCATATCATGTCTCAAGTGAAATATTTACAGTACAGTAAACTTGTTTTATAATGTCTGACAGGGTTTTCACTAGCCATGCAATCCTGAGGGTCATTTTGACTAAGTTTTTCTTACTTCAAGGCCCAATCCCCATGATTTTTAACAAAATTTGACCCTCCAGTTAAAATCCTGAGGGTCAAATCAGGCTTTTTGGAAATATAAGGGTCAAAAAGTCATTTCAAGGGTCAAACGGACACCTTGAATGACACTCTCACAAATGAGATAATTTATATGATAATGTTAGATTGAGAAATCGCTCTTCGAGCAGTGAAAATATTAACAATCACTTTTTCCTGTACTGTTTAAGTTTGTTTATAATTTTCTATGTAGTTTGTTTATAACTTTTTATGACGGTTTGACATTTGTGTTTATCACATATACCTTGGCACAGGAGTGTAATAAAGCCATTTAATCAAAAACGATATTACACTAGTGTAATATCACTTTGACGTGACATCATTTGCCCTATATATTAATTATTAAAGCGCGCTAATGTTAGCGTTATACTATAGGCGCTCATTGGAAAATACTCATTTTAACAGTTTTACAGTACTGTTCTTATGTCTTATATATGTGATAAATAGAATATTATATTCGTGTAGATTCAATACTAAATTTATTGAACTTGTTGAATAAAACAATATTATGCTCGCCAGAGGCTCGCATAATTGGATTTTATTCAACACGTTCAATAAATTTAGTATTAAACTACACTCATTCAATATCCTCTATATATTAAACATGTAGTAATGAAGTTAATATCAACAAGTGCTTGTCTTTTAAAGCCGTACCGGGCTAGGCTACCAACTATTTCTTAAAACTCTGCAGACATTGTAACTTAAACAAGAAACAAGAGTTATTTTAAACACAAAAAATGCAGACTTTTTAATTAAAAATAAAAAATTTAATTGATATCTGCTGCAACAAACAAATGTGAATCGTGTCTTACATATAAATTGACATTTTTTTAACAATTTATCAATTTCTTGCATGTTTCTGTGAGTCGTAATGAAAATGAAAATGACAAGCTCCTCCTGAAACATTGAATGTAAACTGTTGGGGACCAGCAAAAGGCATCATAATGTTTTGCATATTTTCATTGACATTAATCGAACTTTGCGCAACAGTAGATTGTTTTCTTTCAGACATGTTGGAATCCTGACCTGAGACACTAGAAACTACTGGTAGTGGTA